TCAAAAGGATTTTTTGTACTTACTTAATTTATATATATATATATATATATCATAACATTATAAGGAATCAACTGATTATCTATTCTAAGCTTAAATTTCAACTCTTATTTATAATTATGCTTTAAGGAATTTTGATACAAATAAGCTTACTATTTTGATGTAGTACAGAACTTTATTAAGACTTCAGACACATTTCTTATTTTGAATCTATTTTTTTATTTCAAATATATTTTCTTATTTAAATATAAAAGGTCTTGAATTATTGACAAGCACATAAATGCATTTGTTTCAAAATCTAGATATCAAGTAAAATATGGTAGGGGATCTGGTTGATCATAATGCAGCTGTGATGAATACAAACATATTTTCATTTAAAATAGATTATATTTCATCAAACTATTTAATAAAGTAATCGAAATGTAATCGAAAAGTAATCGATGATTACATCCTAATTTTTGCTATAACCGATTAAATTACGATACATGTAATCGAAAATGTCCTCGATTACAGATTACTGTCGATTACTGGAAAAAATGTAATCAATTACAATCGATTACAATTACAGATTACGATTACCCCATCCCTGCTTGAATAACAATCGCATTAAATTCTATTATATTGACAGCGTTGTGTGAACAAAACAGACATAATAGGTAAAAATGTCAAACATTGGGGTACAGCAGTCAACATTGCGTTTTAAAAATGTATGCCAAACGATCAAGAGTTAATAAGAATAACAAAAAAGGCAATTACGGACCTATTTTTGTCTTAAAATTGTGTGTGGCAATAAATAAGAAGTACGATAAAGATCTATGTTTACAGGTGTATTGAAGTGAATATATGATGATATGTAAAATAATATTTTAACCTTTCAAAAATTCACATTCTACATATAATAAAACGCTAAAACGTCCCACATTCAGGTTTCATAACCGTAACGCTACCGCAGGAACTAGGGGAAGAGGTGAGTTAATATTGTTTTCAATTTCTAACATGTTTCATAATACAACCACAATACCTTACAGCAGGGGGTCGTTAAGGAAAGTGACAAGATCTGTATGATATCTACAAACTATGTATAAAAATCAATTTGAATTTAAATGTTTCCTTGTTAAATTTGCAATATAATTTGAAATATCGGTTTATTTCTATTTATCAATCGCGTATTGAATTGAACAAGAAGTAAGATTTGTATAAGGTTCGACGATAAAGGGTTTTTGAAGTGATCATATTAAAATTTCCGAAAGTTATTTCCGTCATTCAAAAATAAACATTTATAAAGATTAAATCTTTACTCATTCAGTTTTGTATAACCTGTTAGCAACAAGAGGCAAATGTTTGTAAGTAGACAGTAATTTGTTCTTACTATTTTTATTCACTTTTCAAACGGAGTCAATTAATATGAAAAAAAAGAAGATGCGATATGATTGCCATTGAGACAGCTCATCAGGTGAGACCAAATTACACAGATATAAACAACAATAGGGCACCGCAAGGCCTTAACCATGATTTCTTTCCTACATTTTGCATGATCTTTTTTCATTATTTCTTATTCTCAATCCATGATCCATTGTTATAACTGTAGTATGACGTCAACTTTCGATACTGATTTCTATTATCTTCTTATAACACAGAAGTATTGTCAATTTTACGCACATTGTATAAAGCCTTAAACTGTCTGACCTGCATACATGCAGCACATACAATAATATGTAGGGTTGCACTTGATGCCTTAACCATCGAATCCTGAAAGATTGCATGGATAATAAATTAAAAAGCTGTTCAATGTTTCAAACTGTAAAGCTTTCAACTAATTCGATTTCTTATAATATTGTAAATTCGTTAGGTTTTTACTGCTTTCGTTTGAAGACGTCATATTTTTTTAATCTTTACAAATTGAACTTTTGTAAATATCGCAATGGAAAATCCAAGAATGAACCATTTGTCCCAATTGTTTTGTTATTTATTATTTGAATACTTTTGTGGTTTCGGTCTTTATCAAAGAAACTATTCTTACATACCTTCAAAAATGTAAAGTAACAAGACCATACCCGCGGGTCTGTGACTGAATTAAAGAACTTACGCTTTATTTTAGCCTTTTAGAATTCGTATGTCATTTGGTAAAGTCACGCTGATTATAAGGTGCACAGTTATTCGTTGTATAATGACGAAGTTCAGGTGTGATTATTACCTGTGTCTATAGCAAATCATGAATATACCGTTTGGTTGTAGCATGACAGATAAAGTAACGGGGATCAGATAATTTTATGAAATATGGTATTAAAATCGCTAACGGAGTAAACCCGGAATTTGTCAGTTATTGATACTATTAATTATGTGGAAAACAAAAGGGCCTGGAATGTGAAATTGTTAACCTACACCATTGTCTCGTATCATTTATATATAAAGTTAAATTCTGCGGGCAGAACGTCGACTAAGCATGCACGAAAGAGTGCAAGACAAGGATCGAATACGGTCTCCGAATTTGAAAATTTTCTCAAAATTGGCGTTTTCTGTGGACATAAAGATATATTTGTTTTTATTTGTCTTTTAACTATTTATTCCATTTTTGGTAATATTCTTTAGGCGTGGTTCGGTATGTATACAACCTACCATTGTGTTACTGTGTTAGTGTAATTTTTTTGGTATTCTTGTGTTTCATTTTTGCTTATTTACCTTGTCTAAAAAGTGTCTATTTCCCATTTTGTGTTTTTTATTGAAATTAGTTATTTGTTGTCAACAATTTTACCTGTTATGTCTGTTTGTTTTGCTCACACATCGTTATCAATATAATGAAATGTAATGCAACTGTCATACCATTTTCTACTTAAGGAAATACCTGTACCAAGTCAAGAATATGACATTTTTTCCATTGATTTGATCTGTTTGAGCTTTTGGTTTTGCCATTTGATCTGGTATTTTCCTTTTTGAATTTCCTCGTCGTTTTTTAATCATAGAAAATATAGTAGGTTTTCACATAGAAAGAAATTATCGATGATCTATAATCGCTTAAACATAAAATATGAATTATTTTCTTACTTCTTTTGAGTAGAATGGATCATTAAGGGGTTCTGTTCCGTAATTAAGGGAATTTTATTCGATCTCTTTAAATCTACAAGGAACAAGATGAAGGTAATATTTATTAAATCAACAAGTAAAACATTGAAAAATATGTTGAGTAAGAAATATTGTTCATACATATGTCTCTATTCATTGATACATAATTAGTTACTATAAAAAAGAATTTTCGAATATTGTAAAAAAAAAGTATGATCAAATCCGAGTGCAAATACATTGACATTAGGTATATAATCCCTTGTTTCAAGTTTATCAATTATATTCAAAATAAAATGTAGCCGGAAAATTAAACCATGTGAAATTATATTTTATTCTTGCATTGTGCATTTTTATGTATTAGTCCCGATTAAAAAATGACAATCAATTAAGTACAAGCAATTACTGTGTATTTAGTGGATGTCCATGCGCAACTAGTACGAATTGCTACGATCAGAAATTATTGGGACGTACGTGTATAAACCCGTCAAATTGCCAAATATACCTTTTGAATCAATAAATAATAGAAGCAGCTGATACATGTGATACTAGAACTTAATATTTTTTCACTCAAAAGTACAATATATTTGGATCTTTTAATCAGGCGAGGGAAATGCACACTGGCTTCTGATACATGCGGTGACAAATTTAAACTTCAAGGCGATGGGGATATTCTCCAAAAAATTGAAAACAACACGTTTAATAATTACATGCGTCCGAAGCGCTTTTCTGGATTTACCTTCATCAGGAACGCTCAATGCCAAACATTTGAAATCCGAGGGATGTATAAGTACCGAAACAGTTGAAGAGCTATATGACAAAAATACCTAAAACAAATAGCCAAATTCATCTAAGGTCAACTTTGCCTGAGGGAGTTGAAACCTTAGTTTCTTTATAATTTCAAAATTTATAAAAGGACAATTGTAGAAAAGTTTGTTATGAATCATGTCAGTACCGAAGTACTGACTACTAAGCTGATGATACCCTCGGGGACTGATAGTCCACCAGCAGAGGTATCGACCCAGTGATGTAAAAATTGAAAACAACACGTTTAATAATTTCATACGTCCAAAGCGCTTTTCTGGTTTTACCTTCATCAGGAACGCTCAATGCCAAACATTTGAAAAATTATCCGAAAGATCCAGCGGCTTTACAATGTACCTATTGAATGTTGTTTGGAACAGGAACCGTGGTATCTTCCGGATAACCGTTTGAAGCATTGTACCCTCACAAAGCTTATTGAATCCGACCCTGTGAAAAACCAAAACAGGTTTTTATGTTTTAGTAACTTCACGGAAAACTACCTGGTAACTGTAAATTTTCAGATTGGGAGAAACTAGACTATGTTTGGGTGACGATTAGATTTTTTTATTCTGTGATACTCCGGCATACAAAAAGGAGCCTGTAGGATTATAGTTCAATTACATTAGACGTCATTATAAAATATATGTGAAGCATCGAGTTTTAGATATGATCCCTATTACGTGTTACTAAATAAGACCTCAACATCGTTCAACACCGAACTGATAAATCGTTTTGAAAAAGACAAAACAACTGGCGTCCATGTATTAAACATTGGAAACAGTGTCATCAAGTCATTAAAGGTGCTCTTTCATATATAAGTATCAATTTTACTACACACTATGTTCACTCCGACATTAAATGTCTCTGCAGTCAAAAGTATCGCTTGTTTTCTTTCTTTTTTAAATGATATTTGTATGAAAAGCTAATGCAAAAGATACTTTTATATAAATACAACAATTTCATGTTTTTCAGGTGTCGACTATTTTCCTTAAAAGTACATTTTTCGTCTGTACATAATTTCAAGGACCATGATGAATTGTTCTGAATTAGTAAGCTATGTATTACTAATACTCTCAGTATATAGTAGTGTTGTTCAACCAAATATGTGTCCTTCCACAAAATCTTGTACATGTTCAAATGCAATGGGTGGATTTGCGTCCTGTCGAGGAGCTATGTTGAAGTTCATTCCAGTCTTACCGAACTACATTACCATACTCGATTTTTCTAGAAATCGATTGGAAAGTATCAACGCTTCAACTTTTAGCAATTTGAAACAACTGAAACTTGTGCAACTATCTCTAGTGTCCAACGAGATTCAACATATTACACCAAATGCCTTCAGTAGTTTGTCCTTCCTCCGAAGATTGAATCTCAGTCGGAATCCTAAACTGTCACCGTCAATGGTAGCAGACGCAATTGCTCAAATCAATTCTTCAGATTTTAATCAAATCACACTAGATAGATTGAAATGGAATACAGAACCAACTGAACTGTACACTGCATTATCCCGCTTTAATATTTCAAAGCTGGTCTTACTTGATAATAACTTCATAAATTTGAACTTGACATTTCTTAGCGAAAATTTGCCGCATATTGTAGAAATACGTATTGCATATGGAATCCTCTCATCTATTCAATCAGGGTTTTTTAAAGGGTTAGAGAAGCTATATCTGTATTTTAATCAATTACGTTTTACAAGAGATTTCTTTGGGAACGGAACAACTTGTTTTTTTCCAAGACTTGTAAATCTAAATATAAGGGCTAATGTCATTTTTAATATAAGTAACCTCTTTTGGTGTTTGGAAAAACTTGAATTTCTTCGAATAGATGGGAATCCAATTTTAAGAATTTTGAATTATACGCTTATTCAACTTCCATCGCTTAGAGTTCTCTACATGAACGATTTGGGATTTCGATTTAACACAATAGAAGATAGAGCATTTCAGAGCATTTCGTTAAGACGACTTCACCTTAGTAACAATAATTTTCGGTTCAAAGAAGACGTGTTTTACCATTTTAATAAGAGCGAAATATTAAGATACAGTCCTAACATTGAGTACCTAGATTTAAGTGGCAATACTTTCTACTATATAAATGTATTACAGGATATATTATCACCGTTAAAGTCGTTAAGAGATCTTCGAATGAATAATTGTAAACTTCGATCATTACCTGAGAACCTTTTTTTTAAGCTGCATAATTTAATCACTATTTATATGGCAAACAACAGAATCTCAACATGGAATGGATATAAAGTTTTTGGAAATCAGTCATATATACAAACGCTAGGTTTGACTGGAAATGTTATTTCAAATATAGACGAAAAACTGTTTCCATTAAACGTACTTAAAAATTTATCAAAGTTGTTATTAGGAAATAATCCCTTTTCATGTACATGTTCTAATATATGGTTTTACAATTGGATTAAAAAAGAAAAAAATATTTTTCAAGGCTACCCGGAATCATATCATTGTAAAACACCACCTGGAAAAGACGGTGCGTTGCTTGAAAATGCCATGCCAACATTTTTTAAATGTCAAAATAATGACATATTTTTTGCAGTAGTCACATCACTGTCCTTATCAGGTATTGTTTTTGTGATTATTTCAAGTTTAATCTTCCGTTTACGATGGCATATACGGTATTGGGTATATCTCTATCGTGTTAAAAAGAAAGGATTTTCTCTAATTACATATGAGGCGGCAAATTTTGAGTTCGAAGCATACGTAATTTACTGTGAAAAAGACTTACACTGGATCCGACACAAGCTATTAGAAAATATTGAAAAGGAGTCTGGAATTCCTCTATGTATAAAAGATCGTGATTTTGAAGTTGGTAATGCATTAGTAGACAATATTGTTGAAAACATGTCTGCTAGCAGGAGAATAATTCTCATTATATCTCGTGATATGGTAAAAAACAGCTGGTGCCTCTTTGAAACGAGAATAGCACAGGAACAATTTCTGAACAGGGAATCTGATGCGTTAATAATTATTATGGTGGAGGATGTTTCTGAAGAAAATATGTCGTCAAGTTTGCGTGCCTTTGTCAATTCATCACCAGTTTGTAAATTTCCAACAAAAGAATATGAAGAAGGACCATTCTGGTTGGACTTAACAAAATTACTTCGAGAGCAAAGATAGAACTGGAAAATTCAAATCCTCTCCGAACCTGCTTTAAAATTACTTGTGTTAGTATACTGCATGACGTGTTTGTTTATTAAAAAATATATAGTAACATATTAATTGCGATCAGATAAGTGTTTAGTTTAGAAGCAATAAGACCAACCAATCATCAGTTGAATACATTCAGAATTCAGAAGTCTAGATCTTTCAGGTCAAATGTGTTGTATAGTTAATAATCTAATCTAATATGTCAAATGACAAGCGTTGATAATTATAAAGGAATCTATATATAGTAAATACTATAGAATGAATATATGTAAAGAATATATAATCTTGAAATAGAGTTAGCCACAGAGTAACTTTTATTTTCTTCCGTATGCACTTGATACAAGTGGTCATATAAAGAACAACAATGTGTGAACAAAATAAACAGAAATATACATGTAATAGGTAAAAATGTCCAAAATAGGGGTACAGCAGTCAACATGGTTATATGATTTTAATCCTTATAAAACAAACAAATATGTCAACGACGAAAAACAAAATGGCATATAAACAAAGAACATGAGTAACAATGAGAGACAATAATTATAAAAAGAAAAAAGCACGATAACACAATGACGGGATGTACAAGTACCGATCCACGTCAAATGGATATCACAAAAAATCTACTAAACAGTAAAAGTATTATTACAAAGCACATATTAAGTAACAATGAAAGACAAGAATACCCCCAAAAAAAAAATGACCATAGCCCAATACCACAATGTCGAGATGAAGAGGCTGTTGCCCTCATATATGACGTCAATATAATGTTCACTAGACTAATCATTATATTATTTTACTATTTTAAACATTTTGAGAAATGCTCGAAAACTAAACTAACAAATAGATTGTTCATGAAAGTTATCATGTGCAATTAATGTTTACTCTAGCCAAATTGAAAATTTATTTAAAGAAACATCTTGGATACACAATCATTATGTCACCTCAACGTCTGAAATGTTTTCTTAAATTGATATAAGAATTGTTCGTTAGCCATGATATTAGTATTAAAAGAGTCAGTCAGTATCTTCATCTGATAGTTCAACACAATTCATTTCAATTCAAAAAAATCATCTCGACTGATAATTAAGGTACAACGACAAATAAATGATACATTTATACGACGAGAATAATTGGGATAATTATCAGGTTCTGGCAAATGAGAAGTATAATTCATAGTAAATGAAGAGCAATAGTTTTAACTGTTATTCTAGAGGGTACATGCTAGGTAGGTTGTATTCATTAAATTGATATAAGCGAAAGTTCAAGTGTTAAAGTGTGTATGGACGGCGTGACATTTCCCCTTCATATTTTAAGGTCTTCATATCGATCGGTTAGGGTGTGTGTATCATTTGTTGTGTTATTTTACTTATATTTTTTTTTGGGGGGTTCCTATTTTTATTAGTTGGTTCTTATTACACGTATGTTTTTATTAATATTGCTTTCGAATCGGAGAGAAAAACTGAAACTACTCATGCTTTTTGATTGTTTTGTGTTTTTTTTTATATACGAACTGACGCATAGCGTTTTTTTTTTATATAATTTTGTAATAAAGTCTTGTTGATTTTTATCAGAAATATTAAAAGCATTGAAGATATATCTATTAGAAATATCAGCTAACTCTTGTGAATGTATACGAACAAGATTGGTAATGATGTATATAAGATAGCATTCCATCTTGTTGCTATTCAATCAGTAATACTCATTTAAGCAGACTCAAGAACTAGAAAAAAATTTCACTCTCATATATAAGCTTATGTAACAATTTTGATGTAAAGTGTTTTCTTTTACTTGGTAACTGGTATTTTTGTTCAGCTATTGTCTTAAATTTCTCAACTTTTCATTTTCAACTGTTGCCAAACTACAGGTCACTGACAACAAACATCACAATAACATCCATTAATTATTTGTAACTGCCTTTGGTTAGATACCATTGAATTTCCTTTAATTAAGGTAGACAACTTAGGTTGTTCACTAATTTTCTTCTCATTTTCAAGGGGAAGGATTTCTTTGTAATTTAATTAAAAAGTTATATATAAATTACAAATTTCTCATTTCTTCAGACTTTAAAAATATGCTTGTTACAATATTGAAAATAATTGAAGCATAATGGTTTAATGAGTTTATATATTTGTATTGATCTGCTAATTAGATAAAGTTGCATTGTCCCTAGGCTGTTTTATTACACATATTAATCAGATTAATTGCAATTTGTTTTTACAGCTGATCATTTTTATATCTATGAACTTATTGTGTATGCTAATTTGATAAAATGATTGTGTGCAAGGCTTTGGAACAATTATACCTTTATGTGAGTCACTAAGTCTGATGACACTTTTAAACTTCCAGAAATTTATAAAGTTCATTATTGGCAATTTGCTCTAAAATTTTCAGGAGGGTCTGTTGTTTTCCATTGATCATGATTGTAGTACTTCTGTCTCTAACTCATATTTGTCTTGATTGCATTCATAGCACATTTCCTTTTTTTCATAAGGTAATTCGTGTACAATTTGCATGCTCTGCTTAAGATTTGTTAATTGGTGTTTAACACCACTTTCAGCGATTTTGGCTATTTTGTGGCAGTCACTGTTTATTGGTACAGGAATTAAGTACCAGGAGAGAATGGCGACCTTTGGTAGAAACACTAGCAATCCTACATGTCTTAAGATTGGAGTAGAATGAACAACCTCAGAGTTGACAGGCTAGTGAAAAAGTAAAATCACAAAAATACTGAGCTCCGAGGAAAATTCAAAACGGAAAGTCCCTAATCAAACGGCAAAATCAAATGATAAAACACATCAAACGAATGGACAACAACTGTCATATTCCTGACTTGGTACAGGCATTTTCAAATGTAGAAAATGGTGGATTGAACCTGGTTTTATAGCGCTAAACCTCTCATACAGTAGTTACTTAAAATACACGACCAGTGAGGCCCCTAACATGCTAAGTGAATAAAGAGATGGTATACATAAACAGCTTCTACAAACAATACAAAACCAATCAAGAGACACCATGAGCTCAACATCAAGATTTCGGTATATTTTGTATAGTGTACAGTGAAACTTGTCTTACCCTAATTTTGGTGAATTGCATAAACAGAAAATCTGTCTATAGGGCTTCCAAAATGGTCCTATTGTCAAGACTTGTCTTATTAATTATATTTTTAACATGTTGTGCCTAGCCTTTACTTACAGAGAGTATAAAATACTATACACCATAAAACTTGATGGACCTGGATTTTATAGGTTTGATTTATATTATCGAGAAATTTGAGTTCTAATGCCAACTTTTACCCAAAGTTTGATCTTTTATACTCTCTGGAAGTAAAGGATCTAGAGAAATTAGGGAAACAAGAGTTCTAGAAATATTTTTTTCCCTGTTGGTCCTAGAAAAAAAATCTGCTTGTCATCACTTAATATTTCTATTGAAAATACCAAAATTGTGTCTGTCATTTGCAAAATCTAGCAATCAAAACTTTCGGAACACCACTTTTCAAGACCTTTTCTGAACAATTTTAAAAATGAAGCAGGCCCAGTGTTTTCCCCAGGGCCTTAAAGAACCGTGGTACCCTGGTGCTATCTTAGATGATTTTATAATAGAATGTATATGGGCCATGGTGCTATATTTTGGAAAACCAGTGCTGTGTTAATTTCCATGGTACCATTTGAAAATTCTGGGGAAGACACTGAGGTCATTGTACACATCAATTTGAACCGTAACTTATTCTAAAATTACTTTTGTTTTTTTGGAAATATTTTGAAAAAACAAACACACAAAAGGTAAGAATTTGTATATGCAAAAATTTCTAACCATCAATGAACTTACAAGTGCTGGATACAGAAATTTCATAAAAGGGGGCCTACTGACTGCCTAAGAGGGGGCCCGTTTCAGTCATGCTTCAGTGATTCCTTATATAATCAACCAAATCTTTCCTACAAAAGGGGGGCCCCTAATTCTCCTCTGGTTACAATGTATCATAGCAAAATTTGGTCTCAAAGTTCCCCCAAAAATTCTCTCTCAAAGTCCAGACAACATAATGCCTTCAGTGTGATAAGCCAAAGGAAGGCATCACAGAAAACAATTAAATAAGCCTTTCAAGCTGTCATAATTAATCAGACTACCTTAACCATTTTAACAGTTTAACAGGTAACAGTTACACCTGCCTCTAGTCCAAATAATTATGACGTCTTGAAAGGCTATTTGATTTTTTTTTGCAAAAAAATAAAACACCCTTTCAACAGGTTGGGCTCAAGTCAGGAAGAGTGGGATATTCCCTGTTTTCAGGGTACATCCCTGTTTTCTGCTGTTGAAAACCCCAGTATACAGGGACTTCTTTTTTTCCTATTCAATTTATGGTATGAAATCTACAAAAGCGCACCTTCTGCATGTGATAACAATGTTTTATGATAGCAGTGTTATTAGTTCAAAAATCAAGCTTATTTCAAGTCTATATTGATGCTCAACTCACAACAAAACAAATCCTTTATTCACCAATTCATACCTTGATCATCAATTATGAGATGACAAAAAGAAAAGTTAATCACTTGGGCATTTAAATTAATGAATAGAAATTTTTAATAGAAGTGAACAGAATTCAGTTAAGGTCAGTTACACCTAGAGCATGCAGCCTGGTCAATTGATCCCTCAACAAAACGATTTTTAAGTTCTAGACAAGGCTTCACTTATTCATGTTTTGTTGTTCTTGAAATACTTTACGTATTTACAAATACTACTGATGCAGTTATATCATGCACTTTTGCAAATTTCGCGCCATCAATTGAAATAGAAAAAAGAAGTCCCTATAACTGGGTTTTTATAACACCAGAAATCTGGGATGTTCCCTGAAAACAGGGATTACCATGATTACCCCACATTTCCTGACTTGTGCCCAACTTGTTCAAGACGTCATAATTATTTGGACTACACCTACCTCATATAACTATTTTTTTCTTAGACATGGTGGATCTTCTGTAGTTGGTGATCGCAAAACTGGTATACCAGTATTGTGCACATTACTGGTATAAAT